AAGGGAAAAGGGACCATGGAAACCATTCGAGAAAGGGTCTGGATTCTCTTGGAAAAGGAGCTTCTCAGGCCCCGCCGGAAAACAGACCGCGGCCCCCGCACCTTTTTGCGGCAGCAACCCCCCTAAATGTTAATGGGCCCTCCCAAATTCGGGGTCAGGAGCGTAGCGGGAGTGGGACCCGGAGTTTGAAAAAGGGCGACGGACGCTTGCGTCCTAGCCTCCAACAACGCCTCCCCGGCGCAGAGGGCCCCCCGGAGGGATGCTCAACCGCTACACGCCACGCCGCTTGCGGCGGTCCGATCCGGCGCGGCCATTTCTTTTTTTGTCTCCTATTGTGAAAAATAAGGTGCGCCGACAGCGCCGGCCCGTGGGGCGCTAGCATCGGCCGCCCATCGCCACGCGCAGCCTCGTCCTGCTGCTCGTCATCCTCCGCCTGGAGGGCGTCCGCCAGCGCGCTGCGCCGCACGCCCCGGCGCACAGGAGGCGGCGCCGCCCGCACCTCGGCCGCCTCGGCGTCGCCCGCGGCACGGGCGCCATGCTCGCCGTCCACGCGGTCCATCGCCACATCCCCATCCCCATCTGCGGCAGCGCCGCCTGCGCCCGCGCCGGCCTGCTCTGGGACGGCGCGCCACCGCTCGTCGTCCAGCATGTGCCACCACCGCCGATCCGAGTAGCCGTCGTACTCGACCTCGTGCACGATCCGTCCGTCCCGGTCCTCCTCCCGCGCCATGACGGTCGCAGGGTACCACCGCTCGCTGTCGCAGAAGATCTCGAGGCGCGATCCGGTGGACAGGACAGTGTGGCCGTCGAGCGCCGCCCTGGCATCCTCGCGCTTTCGCTTCCGCCGCTTCGCCTTCGTCTCCTTGCTGCGCAGCAGAGTGTAGTTCGGGCCCACCTCCGCCACGCTGTCCAGCACGTGGACGGCGCTCGCCATCTCGACCGCGTCGTCCTCCGGCGGAAGCTCCGCGTCACCCGCGGCCGCTTCCCGAGCGCGCTCGTCGCGCATCCGCTCGTGGTGGGCCTGCCGACGCGCCACGCCGGCGCCCGTGTGCCTCGCCGCCGCGTCCGGCGACGGCATCAGTGCTGTCCGCCCGAGCGTGACTCGCCACTCCACGACCTCCACGACCTCCACGACCGCCGAAAAGCACGACCGCCCAAATCTCGAACACATCTCGAGTCCTCTCACATTGTACATACATATTAAAGCGCGAACCCCGCATGTATTTTATTTTTGCTTGGGCGGCCAGCATGCCGGGGTAGGTAGGGTAGGTCTGGGCCCTCTGTGGGTTTTTCCCTCTCTTCACGCCGGAATTCACAGCAAAAAAGAAAATTTCCGCCGAAATCACGATGTCAACCCTCCCCAAGTGGGTCATCTGGTGCTTGTAGGGCTTGAGAGTGGCCTGTCATGTCTCAGGAAGGACTGTGGTTGCAGGAGAGTACCACCAACCATCACTCTAGTTGGTATAGTACCCATGTCATTAATTTTTTATTTTTTGCAGACATGCACCACGCGCGATCTTCATCGGCTACGACAGGGATAGCAGAGGCACTTGGAGCACTTGGAGTGCAGTCGGTAACCTCACATCCAGGGCCGGTGAGCTGAGAAGCGCATCCAGCGGGCCGGATGATCGGTATCGGGTTACGGGCAAGAGAGCCCTAGCCCCGGGGGTGCGCGTTCGCAGGGCAAGGGCCTTAAAGTAAACACGGGTCTCCGAGGGTTAGCTCCGCGCTCCGGGTTTCCCCTAGCAGCAGAACGCCCCCTCTACTCGGAGCTAGTAAACACTCAACACGGACTCGACACGGCCTCGACGCCCGCCCACACCCGGCGCCTCACCACTCCGGACCCCTCATCGTGGTCTCCCCACTTGAGGCGCTACTTATATCGGTCCAGACCGATAGCATACGTATCAGAGTGCCAGCGCCCGGACTGTTA